CTTGTTTCATTGTATCATTGTATGAGTTTCCTTTGGCCCCCATATTTGGTGTCCTCGACAAAAAAACGGCAAATATTATCTGAACCTGATTCGTAGACCTGGCTTCAGGAAGCTCTCTCGCCTCAGAAATCCTGGTATTCGTCAGCCGTCACTTCCATCCCAGCGATAGCTTCCCTCGCTGGGCCGCTCAAGCGTTGCTGAAGAAATATGAACCTCGAAATGTCGGGCAGTTTCCAGCTATCTGCTAACCGGAGACCATCATTCCAGAAAGTTTAGCATTCTTTCCATTCCAGAAAGTCTAGCAAAGTTTAGCTTTCTTAACTATGCCTCACACCCACACTCCCCTGATGTTCGAACACCCATTACCACATTTGATTACAGAAGGCTGGAAGAATTTAAACTATTCCTTGTTGACCATCTTGTTGATATTGAAAATGAGCCAGAACCTGATGCTATTGCAAATCGGATTGTGTATATTTACAATGCTGGTATCACCAGGTTTTCTCACACAAGGCACATTTCTAGAAAGACCAGCTCACGCAAACCATGGGTGTCACCTGCACTTCTTCTATCAATTACACATAAAAGCAAGTTATTTGAACAGAAATTGAAGAACCCCAGTCCCCGAAATATTGCAACATACACTTGCTACCGAAACATTCTAACTACATCTCCTAGGCTAGCCAAAAAGAAATACTACAGTAATGAATTCAGTAAACATTCTGGGAACTCCAAGGAAACATGGAAAACATTACACACTCTCATCAATTCAAAACCAAAAAAGGATGCAGACCCAACCAGGATTATTGGTTCTAATGATAAAATTATCACAGACGATCCGGATATCGGAGAATTATTTAACCTCTTCTTCAGTGAGATTGAACAACAGTTAAAAGACGAAATTCCTAAATTATCTTTCGACCCCCTCCAGCTCATCACAAATGTAGAAAATGAAATGGGAAAACGGGAATATGTGTTAGGTTTGTATTTAGATTTGAAAAAAGCCTTTGACACTGTACACATTAGCCTTCTTCTACGTAAACTTACTAAATATGGTATTCGACGAAAATCTCATGAAATCATTTCTTCATATTTGTCTGGCAGAACTTAATGTGTAAAAATCAGGAATTATCTATCAACAATCAAAAACGTATTGTCGAACTTCAAAACAATGTCAATACGCTTTTGCTTCTAATGACTTCTTGGTTTGCTGCTAATTTTCTCTCCCTGAACGTATCAAAAACATTCACACAGCATTACACAACCCTTTCTTCGCATTTCCGACTAAATGTGCAAATTAATAATTCACCTATTAAAGAGAAAAAGGAAATTAAATACCTTGGTGTAATCATTGACAACTCTCTTAAGTTTACACGCCACACTAATTGTGTTGCAAGCATAGTAAGTAGAAATATTGGAATAATAAGTAGGGTTAGGTACTTTGTTGATAAAACAACGTCACATCTACTTTATAACACTTTGATTCTTCCTTATCTAAATTACTGCTGCTTGGTTTGGGGCATAAATTATGCTTCTCAACTAGATCGGTTGGTAATTTTGCAAAAAAGGGCTGTGCGTCTTATAGAAAATGTGTATCCTCCACAAAGCTCAGAGCCAATCTTTAAACGATACAACATTGTGAAACTATCGGATATTGCTAAATCTCAAATGTTAATTGTGATGCACAGATTTTTAACTTCACAGCTCCCTGCATTATTCGATTTAAATTACAATCTCCGCGAATCCAATGACATGGATATGACGCGAGCAAAACATTTAGACCAACCTTTCCCTTATCGTAATTATAGACTATTTACAGCATCCTACCTTGGCCCTAAGCTGTGGAACGACATTATGGTTTCATATTTTCCAAGAATAGCTGATATCCCTGTATCAAAACCATCGTTAAGAACATCATCCGCAAGCATTTCGTGAACACACATTAACGCAACCAACATATTTGAAGACATTGCCATCCTTGTGCTGTACATACCCAACGCACTTCATATTTGACCTCCTTCATGTTTCATAATCAATTTCTGATATATAGTCATGCACATATACCCAAATTCACGGCGCTGGCTCCGGGAGTTCTCCCAGCAACAAGCTCTGCTTAGCTGGGTGGACTCCCTGGACATCCAGCTCAAAACCGAGCACAAAAATGACCAGGTAATTGCCCCCTCCGACTTGTGACTGTATAGCCCTTACTAACATGGGGAATTGAGTGGTTGTAGATTATTGGGCGGTTGTAGCGGGCTGTCATTAGCTGACTTTGGCTAATGACTACTTTAAGCCTTTTCATCTATGATTTTTCCCTACCTATCATATAACACAATTCCTTCGGGTCTGCTCCACTTCTTCGCCTGTTTTTTTACGTTTGTTTCATCTTCCTAGCTGGGAGTGCCGCGAATTGATTTTATGTTTTCTGGTGTTAACGTACGGTTTACTGCGTCGCTGGGATTGAGGGAGGGGCACTCCTGGTTACCTGTTCTTGGGTAACGGCGTAGAAAAAAAAATTATATCACATCATCCGAGAAGTAGGGCACGTTCCGCACTGGTAGGCAGAGCTGTGCCTTTTCAGCACCTGTCACCTTGCTTACTTCGATTCCTGAAAATATAAAACGGAAGATATGGACTTACCCGGAAAATATAAAACTTGAACAGCGGCCAAGAGTGGCATCATTGCATGGTCTCTAACTTCTCTAGCACCCTTTATATCTGCGTAGTGGACTTCTACGGCCGGGGCGTTGTCACCACCCGCAGGTTGAGAACAGCAATACCGTTTCTACACTCCATGGTAGCGGCTTCAGTCTCCAGTGCATTGACTGAATCTTGGACGTAGGGAGTATAAAGCAGGCAAAAGGGTAACGAATTTGACCTTTTTGGAAATCTAGGGCGTACTGATAATCTTGCCTTTTTCAGCTGAGTCTGTTCATTTTCCATGGGGGTTTACTAACAAGCAATCAACCAATGCAACACCAACACCTTAAAAACGGTATATTGGACATAATCTAAAGCTACCAGGTTTCAGCGCCGAAATTATACTTTTAAGCCGATGGTCCAAACAGGTTCTAAGCAATTCCACGTATTTTTATTTTTGCGAGTTTATCAACACAGCTTAAGCAGCCCTCCAAAGAAGTCAACTTATTTGATGGGTTTCCGTACTTCCGTATTTCTGTTACAACCGTGGATATCCTTAGCTCCAAGATATGTACGCGTTGACTGTTTCTGCTTTAGGGCACGATATTCGCGAAATTCATGAAACGACCAGAAAGAATGCGTCTTGTGGTGATAGCCTAGTATGTTAGTCATAATTTTGACCGGGACGCGGATCTTGTAGCGGCATAGCCGAGCTATGTTGGGATCTGTCTAACCCAGACTGGGCACTAATGTGTCGTAATTTGTCTTTGCAATCGAAGATACATCGATTACGAGCGGGTCATCAAGCCCAGCGAGATAGTCGTTCATTAAATGGAAATTGCTGAGCTTTGGCGGCCTTGGCCAGCCGGTCACACTTCAGCGGGCCGATAGTTTTACACTCTCTGACCGGGCCTCCATGCAGCTGTGGTTCCGTGACGCTCGATCAAAAAACGTTCCTACCTTCCGTGCGTGACGTAATATACGAACAGCCCCACATGACGATGGCCCAGTTTATGTACACGCACAGATAAAGGACTGTAAAATCTTCAAAGCAGCTTATTAACCCCAAACTAAAACACCACGACATCTCAAAGGGATTTCATGCTGCTGTCTATTGGTGGGTTTTTGTGAGTTAAGGCTAGTTGTGCGGCAATCATTTAAAACAATGAGCTTTTTGTGACCCAGAAGGAAAGCGAACAACTTAAACAAGCGCCCGGGTGGCCGGCTGGATGCCCTTCGTTTCGGTGGGGGGTCAGTTTGACCCCCTGAGATCTCGAGAACTAAGAAAGCCAGAGATACCAAATTTGCAGGGTGCCTTGACCTGTGCATAAACTCGCCTAGCTCAAAGTTTCAGGTTCCTAGGTTATGACGTTTAGGTCAAATTATGTCAAATAAAGTCAAGTTTCAGCTTGGTCTCCAAGGTGTCCCCAGAACCTAGATAACTGTTTCTAAGCATGACGTCACATGCTCGGTTAAGTCCAGTGACCTTGTTTGGCCTTTTGAAGGTCATGATGACCAAAATTATACAAGCTGCTCTGAGTTTTGTATTTAAATCAGCGGCAAAAATTACGCTAGACGGTGTGTTCCGAAAAACAAAACGTTGACCTGGGTCATTTTAGGTCAATGACCTAATCTGACCTCTAAGAAGGCAATGGAAGAGAGAGAGAGAGAGAGAGAGAGAGAGAGAGAGAGAGAGAGAGAGAGAGAGAGAGAGAGAGGAGAGAGAGAGAGAGAGAGAGAGAGAGAGAGAGAGAGAGAGAGAGAGAGAGGAGAGAGAGGAGAGAGAGAGAGAGAGAGAGAGAGAGAGAGAGAGAGAGAGAGAGAGAGAGAGAGAGAGAGAGAGAGAGAGAGAGGAGAGAGAGAGAGGAGAGAGAGAGAGAGAGAGAGAGAGAGAGAGAGAGAGAGATGTATATAAATATATATATATATATATATATATATATATATATATATATATATATATATATATATATATATATTGCGGTTCATGCTATCAATAAATTCGAAATGAGCACCAGAAACTGCCCAATACCCCTAGAGTAATAGCCCTAGAGTAATAGAGGCCCTATAGAGTAATAGAGGCCCTAGAGTTATGACACAGGTTGGTTTTGACCTTGGTCTGACCTTCGTGCCTGATCTCAGGTCAATGTAATTTGCTCATTCAACTGTTGTTTCGCCTAAGAAAGCATTTCAGAGATGTATGGCTTCGTCAAACACTCCGTTATTGTATCAGATTGGACGACTCCGTAGAAATTGTCTTCGCTGAAACCATGGCCGGACTTCGACCTGCCATAAGTCAGCGACCTTACAAGGTACGTATACATTATTGATGTCAAACAATCCGCTAGCCAATTGTCTAGAGCTGTGCAAAATGTGGCGTGGCTACGCCATGCCGTTCGGAAACCATTCTGAAAAAACCTTCGGGGGAGGTCAATTTGACCCCTCCCCACCCGAGCGCGTGATAAGGTAAGCCGTCAAAGACGCATACGTGGATGGCTTCCACTAAGCGTGTGCTGGGATAGCGTGGATGTTATGCCAGTCCTTCGAATATTACACCTTTTCGCTTTGTGAAAGCAGAACAGGATTTTTCCACGGCGTGTAACGTGGAACACCTTAAATTGCTTTAGCACGTCTCGTATTTTTCTCTGAGGTCATACATCTGATGCTTGGTTCAATATTCTTAAATGTGGGACACTCCCTTTAACGGATGTGGCGCGCCCACAAACTGCAATGCACGTCTCTAGGATGATTTAACCCTTCCTGTGGTTTGTGGCTCACGAAGTGGATCAGATGATCAGAAATACCGATGAATGTTGAAACAATGATCAGATGGTCAAAATGATATATGCAATGCTGGAATTTCCAAGGGAACACTGCCGAACAGCGATCAGGTTTTTGCGGCGTCGCAAGAACTCATTCATCGCTCCGAACAGACCCTGCAATTAGAAGCGGTGGAATCAGCTGTAGGTCAATTGCAGTGTTTGTAACGGAGGTTTGTTTGTTTCTTATCAGACCATGCTAATGTTGATTTTGGGCCTTCATATGGTTTAAGTAAATGATGACTGGATAAGGAGACGTCTGGCACGCCGTCAAAATTTGACACCCCACCATACAGCCGAATGCATAAAGCCAATGTGAAATGTTTGCACACATTTATCGTAGTTAATGAAACTCTGAGGCTTTCAATGAAAAGTGCTCACTTTTTGATAATTGCGGATACTCATGGTTCTCATAGTGTGCTTTGCGCTCTTTGCACAATCCGACCATTGCCAACGAGTTGCGCGGGTAGGATTTTTATAGAGTAAAACTACCTGCGGAAACATGCAATGCACTGCGTAAACACTTGCATTTAATCACGTATTGAGCACTTAATTCCACTCTTTATTCATGTCAATATTTCAACATTGAACAATCACAGAGAAGCCATGCGCCGTTTTCAGTGTCTTTCTGGCGGTTTCCATCAACAGCGGCGTGAGCTGTAGCTTTGCTGTGCGAAAATGGCCACTGGTCATCATGAGCATTGGTATCCTAAAGAAGTGAACGGTGGTGTTGGTATCCCCCACCGACTTCAGCATGCTGTTTGATTATTTGGGCGAAACGTGTTTTCCAGCGCTTCTCACGATTTTTAGAGGTTTTCAGAATCTAAAATGTTTGCGTCGTACGAATAGATGATGTCAGTAAGAGTTCCCAAGGTGGTATCATGCAAAAGTCACGAATCAAATGTCAAAACGATCGCAATCAGCCATATAAGCCTGTTTTAGATGTCCAAGTCTGTGCAAAATGACATCGTTGGTCTTGCATATTATGGTAAGCTCTGAAGGTATAAAAAGTCGTCTCATACAAGGCATGTTAGGTTAACAGATGGGCAACGCCGGCGTGTGTTACGCACTCTGGGGTCAATGCGGGATTTCTCCCACCGGCCTCGGCTCATCGTGCACTGCAATTACTCGAATCTAAAGTGGGCTGATGGAAGGGTCCGGGTAGATGTTTAAGCCGCTGTGCGAACGATGACATTTGTCTCCAAAAGTTAACTATCTGCGCTTGTCATCATTTGCGTTTTTTGCCTTCACGCGGAATGTAGGTAACAGAGGAGTTGAACCTTCCCTTCCCCAAATGTTTCGCCCGTGTCTCGGTTGAAGCGGTATGGCCACGGCTCCCTTGTGTGGGCGGCCGGCGCGCCTGGACAAGATCATGGTGACTCAGTAGCGTTAGCGTACGGTGTTGAGGTTGGGCGCCCGGGGGCGGGTGTATGTTTGTGTGGCCCCACCGCTTGGCTGTTGCTCTGTGCTGGTCGCTTAGCCCTGCTTCAGTGAAATCCCCAACATCAAGCTGACAGGCGCCAAAGAAGGCGAAGATACATGTACGCCACGGATCAAACCGTCACCAGGCGCCCCGCGCCATGGGCAGAGCGGGGTGGGCAGCTAATCTTGCCGAGACGGGCCGGTGGGCGCGGCTGTGCTCGCTCCAAGGCCAGACCGCTGGAGCGGCATGTCCGTGTCCCATGCTGGAGGCGTGTCCGTCTGCCCAGGTGGCAGCTCCCCGTCTGCGCTGGCTGCGCTGGCTGCCTGGCTGCCTGGCTGCCTGGCTGCCCGGCTACGATGGCTGCGCTGGCTTCCTGGCTGCCTGGTTGCCGGGCTGCACTGCGCAGGTCCCTGAGGCCGGCCGTGTTGACTGGCTCAGTGGAATGTAGGGGGACAGCCGCCGACTGTGCGCTGCGCGCCGCCCCGACAGGGCGGTTTAGGTGTCTCTTGATAGCAACAATCGTTGTTACAGCGTTTGAAGCCGGGTGAACAAGGGATTTCGATGGCTGTCGAAACCGTTACTTTGCTGACGGTAATCGACTGTGGTCGCTGGACAGAGATGGCCGAAGGCCTGCCTTCACTGTGGATTTTGCTGTCCTGATGGTAAATGGGCGGCGTGGGCACCACGTGGACGAAGTCGTGCTCGTACTCGTATTCGTGTTCGTATTCGTGCTCGTGCTCATAGTCGTCCTCGTAGGGGCCGTAGTAGCCCTCGTCCTTGTGCTCGTACTCGTGCCCATACTCGTAGTACGCCGCGGCGATGTGTAGGTCAGATGTCGCGGCCCTGGGCGCGCCGAGCATCACGCCGAAAACCTGAAATGGTAGAATGTGCGCTTAGAGACGCCTGGTCAGCCTGTGGGGCTTAACCGCCAGGTTTTTGTTTGGATTGGAGCTGTCGGTTAGTCCCGACCATTTCAGAGCATTGGGGTGAAGGGGGGTGGATAGTGTCAAGGCAGGGCTGCATGCACCTGGGAGCTCTCCGTCAAGACTTGGTCCGCACGGGAACCTACCCCTCTTCGGGCTATGTGCTCCGTGTGTGTGCTCCGCCCCTCAGGAATCCACCAACTCCCCATTCTTCGGGCCATGCACCCTGTGTTGTGCTCCGTCCGCACAGGAACCCACCCCTCTTCGGACTGTGTGCTCCGTGTACGTGTTCCATCCGCGCAGGAACCCACCCCTTCGGGCTGTGCGCTCCGTGTTCCGACGGCATCTCCGCCGGGGGGCACTTGGTTCATAGTCACTCATGGCTGGTGCATGCAACTTGCCATCCTGATAAACGGGGTGTCGATAGGGTGCTTCGCGAAGTGTGAGCGAGGAAAGAAGGGTGGATAAACGGTCAGGTGCCAGCTCGCAGTATCGCACCTGGCATCCGTTAAGCGTAGCAGCTTTACTGACTTCCTTGCGTTTTGTTGAGAGGGGGCGGGGGGGCATCAACCGAACTCTTGCCCTCTGGTAAAGATAATTACATTGCTCACAGCGAAGTTGGGAATTGTATACGCGTTCCAAGATTTCTGGTCCAGCTTAGTGCCCAACGCCGGTTTTCTATACAGGATGTAGCAACGTGTTGCGGTGAAATACCGGCACTTCCCGCCACAGCTGTTCTCAAGGTGCCCTGGAAGGAACAGGCTTCACGTTCGTAGAAATAATGAAACCATTTCAGACCAGGTTTACAGGTCAAAAAGGTGGACTGATCCGTCAGCTCCAAGGTCTTACATCAAACCCGAAATAGCTTTGTATGTGTCCATGCTGACCTTTGACGCACACGTGAACAGGGCCGAGGTTATGTCAGGTCATGTGGCTCCCGCCTGGGATGTTCCGTATCCCTTGGATGCCTGCTGCAAGCGTGGGCATTGCCGCCACGCTGCGACCTGTCCAGCAGGCTTGAGGTCTCCATCAGGTCAACTGGCCACACGAACAGCATACAAACTCAGTCTCATTGCGTAGACTGAAGAAGATTGCAAAACCGTCCGAAATAGCCATGCACCATCTATAGCTCCTGGTCATGCTTTGTTTATTTTTTTGTAAACGCCTGTCCACATACCAAGGCGCTGCAGATGAATTAAAACCTCAAGGTCCGAAGCAAATGCACGGTAGCTCATTTACCTACGGAAGTGTTCACTACAAAATTTTGGCTCTCGAGTCTCCCAGAAACAGAGGACCATTTGATAACAGAGATTTTCGTGGGTAAAGGTTGATTACCCAATCTACACACTGTTGATGGGGCTATGCCCATATCCATCCACTACTCATTCTTTATCAGTTGAACCCACCCACTGGCATCCCGGGTCCATATTTTTCGGCGGTTAAGCTCTAGGTTAGGGGAAAGTTTCATCAAAGCTAACAACCAGATTTACTCTGTTACCTAACTGCCGAAGTAGTGTGAATAAAGCAAGCGTAACAAAAGGAAACACAGCCAGGAACAAGATGTGGATTGATCTTAGGCGTCCAGCCGGTAAAGTCTTACCTTTTGTCAAAGTCTATCACTATCCGCTCCCATGATTTTCCAAAAATCTGGTGGTATTCCAACCCATTCCTCATTATGTATATATGAGCACCCATGGGTTTACCCAGCCCGTCCCTATTGGATAACCACATTAATTGCATTTTACGCATAATGGAAGGTGATTGAGTATTTTTGTTACCAGCATAATCACTAGGATACTCTAGTTGTTTATGGAAACGAAGCGATGCACGGTTTCTTCCCACCCGCAGTGAGATATCCCGCCGCCACGTGTGGCCTCTGGGGAAATATTCCGCAAGCAAGCGGCTGCCACTAATCTCTAGCGACATATCACAGCGTCTCAATGCGCACAGCTCGCCCCAAGCGGTTCGCAGATGGGAGCAGCTAACCTGCAGGAGGATCCACAGGGAGCACATGAGGTCGCTCGTGAGGCTGCTGAGTGACTGACCGCCGGACAGACCGACGGTCTCACTCAGGTTCCGGGATCGCCGGACGAAACTGGTTGTTACCTGCAGGTGGGTTGACGGAGGACCCCAAGGTCAGGCCTGGCGGAGGGCTGCATCTCCGGGTGCTGAGGATGCTGGGCTCTGCGACAGCGTGTTCCGGGGACGGCGCCATGCATCGGCCGACACGAGCCCGCGCGGCCAGCCGGGCTGCGCTCCGTGCCGAGGCCGGCAATTCTTGCCAGACGTCCACGCGAGCCTAGCATTGCTTACGGCTTTAGTCTCATTGCTGTGGGAGATACTACTCGCTGAGAGAGCGAAACGAGCAAACGAATGCACTGATACAGACGAAACCAGACGTGATCCTCCTTGTTTGTTTGCTTTTTTTGCGTAGAATTCGTGAACTTTTTGCGATGACGAAAATGTCCTGATTGGACCGATAAATTCAACAGAATCGTTGTGGGATTTTTCAGTGCGTACGGAATGTGCGAATTCACAAAACTGCTATATTTTTGTTTACCACATAATAGATACAAATCAAATGCTTCTTCATCTGCTGCTGACATCTACAAACGCGAGTTTCTCCCCACGAGTCCCTCGGGTTTGCTTTGCGTCTTAAAGACATGGTTTTTTATAAAGAAAACAAAAACGGAAACGGCGGTTCGTACTGGCTTCGCAAATATGCGATGTCTTAAGTGTATGCATAGCACCGCCTTCAAACATATTTAGATGATTCGTATATACGTGACGCAGCGTGTCCTGATACGATTTTGATAGCTTTTGAAACTGAGTCAATTGGCGGTGCCCTTGCGTGTGAGAGTTTTCTAGATATCGTTCCCACAGCGCTGCAGTATGTTATCAACGGCTTTGACTCTGTGCAACTTCCAAGAGTCTCGCTTCCATGTACGAAAAGTGTATCCCTGCTAAATGCCAAACCATACTCCTGTTTTGCCGCGCTGTGATGGGCGCCGGTATCCGACAGACACGGAATTACGTCGTGGATTGTCACGAAGGCTAAACCCGTTGTATGAACAAATGTCACGGCCATTTATGGAGCCGTCTGTGCTGTTAGTTCGGCTACAAAGTATACACACCTACACACACACGCACACATACAGCCAGCCAGCCAGGCGTACGCTGCTGAGTTATTTAGGTGACTTGCATTGAGCGGAAACCAAAGAAATCTAAACAACTAATTAATATCGCGCATTTGTCTGAATGTCTGCATGTCTGTCTGTCCTGTCCTGTCCTGTTCTCGCGCCGTGCCGTGCCATGTCGTGCCATGCGGGTTGAAGGTGTCGATCTCTTCACCCCTAGAAGGTGGATTTCAAGCGCCAGTGGGGTGGTTATGTAGTGGCTGGTTGTGGTACAAACACCTTGGGTGCCTTCGGTTAAATATTATCAAGTTCGATTGAGCTTGACACAGCCTTGTTACGAAAGACGGATTGTACTGATTGTGCAGGAGGAGGGCCATGTTTGATTTCTTTCCTGACATATCAGTGAGCAATCTTAATTGTGCATGATGAATTCATACGCACATCTGAGTAATTGAAAACTAGGGGACGGACTTTTACTTTAAACCACTAGGTTTCTTGTCAACCTAGCATTTACGAAACAGTATTCGTTCAAAGATGCTACTGATCACTGCAAGTCCAAAAATGTAGATGTGTGTCAATCTTACCAATTGTTGCAGCAAGTTGAGGGGCATTACCCGCATTGCACCGGCGTGGATTTGTATTATTTTGGATGGGCTACTG